AGGCTGAGAGAGTTGGGGTTGTTCAGCCTGGAGAAGAGAACTTATTACGGCCTTTCAATACTTAAAGGGGGCCTGTAAGAAAGATGGAGAGAGACTTTTTACTGAGGCTTGTAGTGACAGAACAAGGGGCAATGGTTTTAAACTGAAAGAGGGTAGGTTTAAATTGGGTAGGTTTAGATAAGGAAGAAATTTTTTACGGTGAGGATGGTGAGGCAGTGGCACAGATTGCCCAGAGAAGTTGTGGCTGCCCCATCCCTGGAAGTGTTCAAGGTTAGATTAGACAGGACTTTGAGCAACCTGGTGTAGTGGAAGGTGTCCCTGCTTATAGCAGGGGGGTTGGAACAAGATGATCTTTAAAGGTCTGTTCCAACCCAAACCATTCGATGATTCTATGAACATTTGAGTAACGTCTAAAGAAGTGAAAGAAGAACAAAGATAAACACAAATGACAACTAATTGGAAGAGACACTGAACTGATCTGGATGGTGGTGTTGAGGCGGTAGGAGGAGGATAGCTCTAACAAGGAAATACGAGGAGCCACAAAGGTGGAACTAAATCAAGCCTTCAGGAGGAGAAATTGGTTTTGGCGTAGTTTTGGGGGGCAATGTCCCTTTTTACAGTGAAAGAAATTATGTAAATGCCATGTTATGAAGCAAAGGAACTGGAAGATGGGTGAGAAGAGCAGGAGCTGAAATGCAAATGTAGTAAAACAGGCATTGGAAAGAATGATAGTGGGAAGAAAAGATTGAAAAGGAAGCTTGGAGATCAAGACCGAGAAAGACTGAGAGAGTGTCCACTTTCCCAGAGAGAGAGGAAAAGTGTTCTTGCTTCTATTAACAGGAATTAAAATTGAAGAAAGAAAAAATAAAATCGAATTTAACAAGTTGAACCTACCTAAAATTTCTTTTAAGGTCTTTAATAGAAGGAAAGTAATAAACTCTGCTGTGATAGAGATAGAAACTCTACTGTTGGGAGTCATCAGCAGATGAATTAGTAAAGTGAATAGTGAGCATAGGTAGAAAAGATATTCTAAATGTCAATAGACTGGTCACAGATAATCTAGGTATGATGCTAAGAAACAAGTGAATAGTTTTGCATAATCTTACTGATAGGGTGTCAAATTTGGGACAACTGTGATTAGAAGAAGTTGAGAGCAGATTGTCTGCACCAAGACCCAAAACCTTGGCAAGGATTCTGTCTCTAGATATTAGCATGTAGATGTAGGTGAGAAATAGTTATGAACTAACCACAATGAATGTTGCTTTGACCATTAAAAAATCAGTTTTGCAAAGTTCTAGAAAGAGATGTTAAGAAACAACATAGTGTTAACTTTTTGGGCATATAGATTCTGTCTTTTCCGAGGCTAATGTCTGTTTTATTTAGTGGTGTCTCCCTCAGGATATATTGAAATTACTTGTTCACAGAATCCTTTTTCTTCATGCTTCGATCTATTCTTTCATTCCACTGAGAATATTATTTCTATCTTCTTTCCAACCCTAAATTAATTTAAAAATTATACTTGTTACCTATCCTGTGAAATAAATTGCAGTTATTTGTAAGTCTTTATGTTTTGTTCCTCTGCTCTGCTGTGTAGCTGTGTTAAGTCTAACCAACTTCTTTCTTTAGATGATCCTTGAAAAGAAATTAAATAGCCATCCAAAGGAGAAAGTACGGAGAGAAAACATTCAACTAAGTCAGTCTGAATCCAGGCCACTTCTTCCAAATTCCAGTTCTGTGACTTTACCTACCAGGAAAGGCCAGAGAGAACCAACACCACCTCTTCTAAAAACTTCGCATGTGCATGCTGGAACTACAACTAGTGTCCAGCCAGAAGTATCCAGCCGGAGTGAAGATTTAGCAAGAACTTTATGTCAGAGAACAAAGATCAATGTGATATACAATCCCATAACACACACTGCTGTTCAAAGTAGGTACTACCTTCCTACAGTGGGATGTAATCCACCATGAGGCATTATTGTGGGGAAGAAAGGAGAAAAGAGATTCATTGGGGAAAAAGAAATAAGGGGAATTTACATGGCAAAATGAGAGGGTGAAAGTGTGGGAGGAAAATGACGTAAGAACAAAGCACTGTTGAATGAGTTTTGAGTGTATGACATTCTCTTTGGCTCTTTCCTGCCTCAGCCTTGACTCTATGTTCCTTTCTGTTTTCTCTTTGCTTCTCTACTGCTGTTATCTTTTCCCACTACCTTTTCAACTGGTTTTGTTTGCTACTACATTCTAATTTTATTCTGAATATTTTTGTTCTGCTTGTGAGATGAAGCGAGGTGGCAGAGGCTGACTCAGTTTTTATGTTCTGTGTCCTCATGGGTTTCCTACTTTCATGTTTTTTTCTTCTGCAGGTAATGCAAATTCTGGTGCTGTGATCAGGAACTGCTCTGCACCACCTTCTCAACAGGTCAGAATCTCCAACAATGGGAAACTGGGGAGACAAATCACATGGGCAAACACAAATGCTCGGCTACCTCCTACAAGTGTACAGAACCTTTACAATGTGAGTAGCAATCCTAAAGAAAAAAAAACACCACCCTTAACTTCTTATGGACCAAAATGATAGAGACACAAAATATCTTAATTTGCAACTTTGTGAGGATACTTAAATGAGAGGCAGGACATATTTCTTTGTTAGTGACTAAATTAATAAATTTTTATCAGTTAAAATTACCTATGACAAAGATATACACTGCCATTTTGTTGCTTGTACGTACTGTCAGTCAAATGGTAGCAGTAACCTAGTTTGATAAGGCAGTTGGGCTTATATAGTGTATGTCCTCTTTACTAGAGAGCTGAAGAGTGTGCTAACTGAAGAGTTTCTGCTAGTAGGGGAAATAACTAGACATAACTTGCCTCTAATATGGGGTAGATTCACATAGGAACTTGCATGTCGTAGTCTTCAGTGTTGCAATACCTACATTTCAGGTGTTTTGTCTACTAATGAAGTTTATGACCCTGAGTTAAGTTCTGTGCATGAGGCACAGTGTTGAGAGGAAGACCATCTATAGTAATCACCAGGAAATGCCAAGGGTACAAATGTAGCTTAAATCTTACATCTCCGGCATACGTAATGCTGATCATTAGCTACTCTGGATTTATAAACACTAACTTTCTCCTGGAGTTTTAAATCTAACCCCAGCCTTTCAAAAAAACCTATCACCTGTGACTTGAGCAGCAAGAGGATTTTGGTGCCTACAGGTTTATGCAGTTCTGTGAATGACTGTTTAATTTAAGTACGAGAATTAGGTACTTCAGAGAACGTGAAGTAAAACAGCCGTTTTGTAAATCTAGGTCTCTGCCTCATTAGCAGTATTTTTTCATAAAGATTAATTGCACTGGATCATATGTCAGCTCACTGTAATCAAAAAGTAAAAATATCTCTGCAGATTCCCTGCCTCTACTTCTTTTTTCCATCTTGAGGTTTTTAATGCAACGTCTTTTGAGATGTGCTGATGTATATGACTTTTTTTCCACTGCACTTTTTCTAGAGGACAGGCTAATTTTGGACTCCATTCTACTTTCCATTTTATCACTTCAGACAAGTGAGGACTTGAACACCATTTCAGATTATTGCATTGTTCAGATTGTCAGCAGCACCAAAAACTCCCTTTGACTCTGAAAATCACAGATCAGTTGCTTTTACATTATCTTCAATGATGGCTTGTCTTGTCCAAAGTGTGTAGGTAGCAAATTCTCTTTTAACCATATTGAGACTGTTGGATATTTCAAACTTAGCTGGAGAATTTGCACTACCTCTGGAATCAACCTAATGGATTGCTGTTGCTGAACAGTGAAGGTTTCAGTCCTGTCCTCTCTGCTCCTCCCTCTTCCCTGTTCTCGTCCGTGCTTCCTTGCAAAAGTTCATATCCTCATTGGGTTCTTGCTATTTCTTGTTCCTGAGCTAGTTGTCTGCTGACTAGCTCAAGGAGACCATAGCCAACACAAGATGATCAGAGGAAGCTTATGGCAGAGGAAGAATATGGAAGGAGGCACCACAGATTACCTTTTTTGTGACACTAAAGATTGACTTATTTGTTGGGGGACTTTCTCACATCCCCACAAAAGAATACTTGAGCATCTATGTGCTGGAGCTCCAAACCATTCAAAATGCATGCCGAGCAGTTGTGTGAAGGGACTTCTGACAGACACCACTCAAAGATGAGTTGGGTGGGATTACCTGCTTTGCGTCAGCATGCAATATCACATTTACCTTAAAGCAAACTGTTTCTTTGAACACAGCTCTGAATGATCTGAACCATTTCAAGCTAGAAACAAGCTGCAGACACTGTTAAGAGCCAAGCTTGTTCCTCCTGGATCTCTTCTTACTGTTGTCATTGATATGAAAATACATATGAATAACTGCTAAAAGGAGACATGATTTCCAGTAACTTCCAAGTATGACCACATGCACACTTGCAACCTGTCTTTGAGCCCTTCTGCTTTGGAATCCCATTCAAAATGTTTTGAGAGTGAGAGGAACCATTTATTCCACAAGTGTGGAGCAAGCGTGGAACCATTTATTCCACAATGTGAGATTGTGGAGATTGCTGCATATGCAGATGTACATATGAACAATGCATTCTGAAGAATCTTTAGGTAATTGTGACCAACTTTCTGTTACTAGATATTGTGGTAGAAGGTCATCAGCATTGTGGCTGATCTTACATTAAGTGAATGTTGACTTTTCCATCTTTCTCATTCAGCCTTAGCAGGAGCTGCAAAGTTCTGACATTCTAGTTTGCTCTGCATTCAGTCTGCATTCATTTTCAATAGCCTATCAGGCTCATGAAACTCTCTTTCTCAGCCGTTTTACCAGGAAAAATGCCTGTAATGGCTGAGGTGACAGCAGCCAGTGCTACAATAGTGAGTGGAAATTATTGCCTTTTAGTTAACTATGGAGGTTCACAAAGCATAAGCTGCAGCGAAACAGCTCTCCTCTTGAACTGCAGACTCAAATGTATTGTAATGTATTATGTATTGTAATGTATTAATGTATTATTACCTTTTCCCCATAGGGGCTATAAACACAGCATCCATATGCACCTTCCAACTCAGAAAGTCACCAAGCCATTTGATTGGCAGAAGCTGGGGAATGATGATGATGATGCACTGTCTTCTGTACATATATTTAAAGCATTCACTGTTGTTGAAAACAAGATACTAGCCAAACAAAAGGCCTTTGGACTTTTGCTCCAGTGCTGGATTAGTTTGTCATATCTTGCTCCAGTGCCACTAGCTCGTTCTTGATACAGCCATTCTTAAGCTCCTCTCCCTCACATCATTCCTACCATCCTACTCTTGATCTTAAGAAACAGTCTGTTTGGTTTATTCTTCATATAACATTAATGATCTGTCCTACGCCTCAGCTGAAGCAAAATCTGTATCTTATTTGTGTTTTAGAAAGCTGATTACAGGTTACTAACTATCTCAACTTTTCTTTCTTGCACAGAATCCAAGAAATACTCAGTTTCACAGCAAAGATGTTCGTCCCCTTCTGAAGCCCAGTAAAAAGATGTTCAAGATTACTGCAAATATGGGAGCTGCCGGTGATCCAAAAGCATCAATGGGCAGTTACTCCCAGGCCTATGGAACCATATGTAAATCCGCACTGCAGAGTCTTCCAATATTGAAGTCCTCCCAACAAAATGAGCAGTGAATATGGAAGTTTTCTAACCAGGTGAAGTACAGCTCATGTCATCATCATCATAATCACCCTAACTGAGCCAGTAAGAGCAAGTGACAGCAAAATATAACAGGCATTTGACAGTTACCCCATCTGAAGGGAAATGCTTTATTCATCGCATGGAACAATGTACTACTATCCTCTCAACAAACCAACAAGAAAGAGAAGCTAATCCCTTTGCTTTCCAGTCTTACCAGACAAGGGCACAGCACTATTTGCTCCCATACTGTGAGAACAATAAACACTGTGATTTCATATTCCTTGTTCGAATTATTGCAAAAAATTACATAAAACTGCAATATTCTGATGCTTGAATGTATTTAGACATATTCAGACATATTCAGGGCCCATGTGAACCTCATGAAGTTCAGCAAGGCTGAGTGCAAGGTCCTGGACCTGGGTCAGGGCAACCCCCAGTATCAGTACAGGCTGAGGAATGGATTGAGAGCAGCCCTGCAGAGAAGGACTTGGGGGTGCTGGTGGATGAATAATTGGATATGAGCCAGCAATGTGTGCGCACAGCCCAGAAAGCCAACCCTATCCTGGGCTGCATTGAAAGAAGCATATCCATCAGGTTGAGGGAGGGGATTCTGCCCCTCTGCTTGGCTCTCATGAGACCCCCTGCAGTACTGCCTTCAGCTCCGGGGTCCCCACCACAAGAAGGACATGGACCAGTTAGAGCGGGTCCAGAGGAGTCCATGAAAATGGTCCAAGGGCTGGAACGCCTCTCTTATAGAGAAAGGCTGAGAGAGTTGGGGTTGTTCAGCCTGGAGAAGAGAACTTATTACGGCCTTTCAATACTTAAAGGGGGCCTGTAAGAAAGATGGAGAGAGACTTTTTACTGAGGCTTGTAGTGACAGAACAAGGGGCAATGGTTTTAAACTGAAAGAGGGTAGGTTTAAATTGGGTAGGTTTAGATAAGGAAGAAATTTTTTACGGTGAGGATGGTGAGGCAGTGGCACAGATTGCCCAGAGAAGTTGTGGCTGCCCCATCCCTGGAAGTGTTCAAGGCCAGGTTGGATGGGGCTGTGAGCAACCTGGTCTGGTGGGAGGTGTCCCTGCCCAGGGCAGGGGGGTTGGACTAGATGATCTTTAAAGGTCTGTTCCAACCCAAACTGTTCTATGATTCTTTAGCAGTTTCAGGTGCACTGCCTAAATGCAGATTTTTTTTTTTTTGAGTGGAACAGGTAACTAACTGTTCTCTGAAGACCAAGAAGACTGAACTCTTCACAGATAATCTTAGAACCCTTCATTTTGTTTTCCACTAATTCTATTACTCTTCTGGGGTAAATGAACATAATCAATGCTGGCTTATTTGCATTAAAATCAATTAGAAAAGCATTTTAAATACAGGTGGGTTCTGCTACAGTATTTAATAGCTTATGTACCATGTAATATTGTAATATTGTAATATTGTAATATTTCTTACTTTATATTTCACCACAGGAAATCTTTGTCTTTCAGTCAAAGTTTGCTGTGTGTGAAAGGGAAAAATACAGGAGTATCTTCTTCAATGAATAATATGGTAAATTATTTTTTTTTTGCTTGAAGAAAGCAATATTCCAAGAGATACCGTTGTTGAAACATCCTGAAGTTGTTATCAGGCAACAGTGAGACTATAGTAAATTTTATATTTAATGCTGATATTTGGTACATTCTCCTCATTAACTTGAAGTTCTTATAAGAAGTCTCTGTCCCTGAAATTTTACTTCACCTATGATAAATTATTGTTATTCCAGAACATTGGGACTACAGTTACAGAGGGGATTCAGACTGCAACATGTGAGTACCACTACGATTGACAGAATATCCATTTTATCTTTTAGTACCTAAACACTAAAGGCTAGTTAAGTAAAAAAAATAGTACATTCGCTTCTGGCACCAGCTGTGGTCACTGAAGTCTGCTAATACTAGGGAGCTGGGAATGCAGCTCACATGGAAGTCCTGTTTTATTCTGGTATATTCATAGAACAGGCAATTCCTGTCTGTCGGAGGTACAGGCAGGTACAGGAAATGGCAATGACAGGGTGAACATGGGTAGGCACTGCTCTCTGCAGCATGTTGGCTCGTCAGAATCTAAGATGCCAGTTATGCACAGAAAAGGGAGCCTACTGCTTAATTCAGGGTCGTGACTTCCACTGAAAGCCTAGCACCTAGCAATTCGATGATACAATGCAGTATCTAAGATCCTCTGTGAACCTAGTCTCAGACTGAGAGGTGATGGGCTGTAACACTTTTGATTCTTAAAATGCCTTTTGTTATTACCAAGTGAGTTAGTTATTCTGCAATATTTGTATACACCTACAACATCTGGTAATCAACATATCACTAAAAGAGATGAGTCATTCTAGTTCTGGTCAGGAACATACTTTTACACTGAACGCACTATGCTGAGCAAGATGAAATTCTAAAAAATCTGAACAAATACAGCAAAATTCTACAATGTTAATGTAATCTGTGACTACAGAAATGACACTTCTAACTTGTCTGTTACAGAACAATGATGGAGCAGGTAAGTTTGGGAAAGGCTGGGGAGGTATGGAATGATGTAAGAATTACACAAAATAGGGCTAGCATATATATAATAGCATATATCTATATAGCCTGCCTTCCTCTCTAGAGTAAAATAATCTCCATCTATATCATCTGGCGTACTGATCATTACAGTACACCATTACATTACATTCATTTTGGGACCCACCAGATCTGATTCATTACTAAGAGCACACAAAATAAGTACACATACAGCATTCATTTATGAATTTGTACGCATGTAACAGATTATGGGTTGTATCTGAAATGGTATACATTCATACAATATGGAATAAGTGTAAGAAATCCACTTCAGCTTTTTTTCCAATTTTGGCTGCTTCTTCCCTCTTTTTTTTTTTTTTTTTTTTTTCTTTTTTCCTCTAAACTTTATTTCTGGGTTTATCTCCTCATGTTAAAAATGATAATTCCTCTTGATTCTTGCAGATTTTTCCCACCATGTATATTAATATGGAAATCAGCTTAATTTTTATTTCAGATCAGACAATCTATCTTTCCGCTTATCAATAAACAGTAAAATAATCATTGTTACAGATATGTAAATTATATAAAGCCTGCTACCATGGGAGCTGGCATCCTAAAAGCTAAAGTTTTAAAGACCCTACTAAAGTTACCTTCAGGAACCAATGCAGCCTCTTGCCTCCCATCTGTCAGCCACATACCTGAACCGGTTTGCTCAGCTTGCAGCTAGTGTCACAAGTGGGTAATCATGAAAGCCAAGCTAATAGGAAAGGGAAATTCAGAAGCCTAGTTCCAGGTGAGAGCGTTCTTCCCTGTAATCCCTTTAGACTACGGACAAAGATCAGGAAAAAAAAATAAAATTCCCAATTTGGCAATCCTGCTGGATGTCAAGCAGAGGCAGTCCAAGCTGAGGAAAAAACCCAAACAGCTAAGTAACTAAACGTCATGTACAGCTTGTTTTCTTGATACATTATGTTTTCTTGATAGCCTCTGTGTCTACCTTCTGTCCTGCAAGACACTGTAACAACAGCATGAACCTACAGACTAATCTGGACTGTTTTAAAGCTGCATGGTTAAGCTTGGTACCAAACTATTACAAGAAAGTTACATGAGATAAAACACTTCTGAGCTCGAAAATTCCAGGAGCTTTATTCCTTCCATTGTTATGAGTCCCTTCTTGTCTTCACATGGAAAGATGTGCTAACCAATGAATGTCCCCTCCTCCCCACAATCTCTTAATGAATTGGAGTTACATTGTCAAGGAAGTTACTACTTGGCCAAGACAGCATTTTCGATGCTTAATTAAATTCCCAGCTCAGCTGAAAAGGAGTCCTAAAAACAGGCCTTGCTCCATTAATAGCATATCGATTTCCTTTTGTATGGCCTTTCAGCTGCTTCTTTCACCTCACCCCCTAAAGCAATACTTCCATTATATACAAGGAAACAAATCAATAGCAAAACAGAACCAATAGGCTTTGAAAATGGTAAATACGAAAGCTGAGCATGTACTGCTAGACAAGACCATAACCATAGATAAGGGCAAAAAGTTGTTTACAGTATTTTTTCCTCCTGTATTTTTTTTTTCAAAAAGGTGTTTCCCATATTTGATTTGTTATTAGATACAAAGATAACTGTACCTGAGAAACAAATGGTTTTTAAACACTGTTTTCCAGTTAATGCGCTTGCGCGTGTGCATGTATGCATGTGTGTGTGTATATTTTTCTTTCCTGGTCTGAACTCGAGTATGGAATTTTCTATTTTTTGATACTTTCCTTCTGAAAGTGGAATTGTTTTTTCTGCTGAAAATATTGCCTGACCAGAACATACAGAGATTCTTACTTTATTTCTTTCTTTTAAGCATCTTGGCAATTTAGTGATTGTATTTGAAACATATTGTGACAAGGTTGCTTGATATCACATGACTTTATTGGGCAAACTGTGCCACAGGAGTCTAATGCTGAACACATTTCCACTCACTAACCACGATGAGTACTGCCTACGGTGTTTATAGCCATCATAAACAAGTTATTCCTCATTCCCCTTTGACAGTCAGTGATCACATGGAATTAAATAATATTTCTATGATCATTTTTTGGTCTTGAAGGTCCCCAGGATTTTGGGCATGAATTTTCCCATCTTCTTGTCTTTGGCATCTGTGTCATATTCCTCTTCACTTGGACTTGTATGTTCATCCTTTTTGCAGAAGACCTCAAATCTACTGTAGACTCGCTTCTCCTTCCGCATATTCTCCATTTTTTTCAGAAGGGTATCTCTATCCTCTGATGGTTGCCGCTGAAGATTTCGTTTCTGGCTCCCAAAACTCTCTGACCTGTGGATGTTACAGCTTTTCTCCTTCTCACCTTTCCTTTCCAAGCTTGTAGTTGACTTAGAAAGATCAGGATTACTAGTGGATGGTAGTTGCCTGGCCAGTTCAGCTCTGTTCTTCTGACTGTTTGCAGAGA